GGATTCAGCAGAGGATGCTTGGCATGTGACAAATATGTTCTGCGAGTATGCTGTAGAAGTGGGGGGAAGTAGGCAGAAGAAAATAAGCCGAACTCGTCCATAAATGACAAAACGAGAGAGGATGGCTACACCATGTTTTAACAAGCAGTTCAAAATGACAAGTGCAGTGAAAGCCTAAGCTTGCTTACTCAGAAGTAAGCCTCACTAAGCTCATTGGAGGTTGCTCTCTAGTAAGTGAGCTTAGGATTTCACTGTTAATGTGCCTCTATTTCACGGACAGGAAAAAGAACAGCCAATGAATACTGTATAATTTGTCCAAATGGAATGAATCGTAATCAGCAGGATTTGATGCACCACACCCACAGGTGCTAAAGAATTCAGGAGTTAATGATTACAGAATGCCGAAACATGGGGCTTATTGAGAGCGAGGACAATAGGGATCAGGGTAATAAGGCCAAGTTAGTGTGACCTGGATATCTGGGGAAACCATTCTTATTTTATGGTTACTGATTTTTATTTTTATTTTTCTTTCCATATCAGAAAAGTTTTGTGATAAGTTGTGATTGCACATTGATTTATTTTTGATTATAAAGTAGAGAAATGTTGACTGGTGAGTATATTTTTGGTGAAAAAGCCCCAGATACTCAGATTGCCTCAAAGAAGATGGAGAATAATTGCTCTCTATAGCTTCTACAGCAGCCTACGAAAAGGAAGCCGTAGATTTTCCCTGCTGGAAGGCAGATTTAGATTAGATTATATAAGAAATTCTCAGCAGTGATACAAGTTGACCAATGGGACAAGCTTACCTGGGGAATTTTAAAATCAGTTTTTGATGTTTTTAAGATGAGGCTGAACATCACTGGCTGACATGGTTTAGCTATAGTGGACCCTGCAATGATTCATATGATTGGGCTAAATGACTTTTCAGTATACTTTTAGGACTGTGGTTTGGCAATCTGAGAAGAAAAGAAAAAACATGTGTTGGTTTATTGACTATGCAGATGGACACTTGCACAACTATTATGCAGGAACAATGAAAGCATATCTATGATGGAAAAACAGCTAGGTAATATAAGACATCTGTCTGTGGCTTCATGTGAAAGGAAGACAGTTTTTGGAAAGTCTGGCCTTAGGTTTCACCCTTATAGACAGTGAACTTAGTTTACATGCGAATGATTCACTATGTTGCTGATGACAGAATATGGTGACACACCTCTAATTAATATACTATCTAATTTAGAATATGTTTCCTTAAACTGTTTTATACTGGGAAATATAGAAACAACTACACGCAGGTCCCGGGTGGCACTGTGATCTAAACCACTGAGACTCTTGGACTTGCCAATTGGAAGGTCGGTGGTCTGAATCCACAGACGGGGTGAGCTCCCATTGCTCTGTCCCAGCTCCTGCCAACCTAGCAGTTCGAAAGCAAACCAGCGCTAGTAGATAAATAGGTACTGCTGTGGTGGGAAGGTAGACAGCATTTGCATGCGCTCTGGCTTCCATCATGGTGTTCTGTTGCACCAGAAGCGGTTTAATCATGCTGGCCACATGACCCAGAAAGCTGTTTGTGGACAAACGGCTGGTCCCCTCGGCCTGAAGCAAGATGAGCGCCGCACCCATAGTTGCCTTGGACTGGACTTAACCATCCAGGGGTCCTTTACCCATTATCCTTTTTTTTTCTTTTTTCACTGTAAACAAATAAGCAACCTTAACCAAGCCTTACATTTTGTGTTTTGCTGGTCAGCGGCAGCTGTTTCTCTGAAAAACATGGTAGGAAGGAGCGGGAAGAAAGAGGGAGAGATTAGACAAATAGAGAACCTTTTTTTCTTTCTTTATTTGCTTTTGCAAGCTTTCATTTCCTGGGTTCTCCCGGGTTTTTCCATTGTTTTGAAGTCAAAATTCCATGGTCGCGAACACATTTGAAATTTCCTCATAGGAATCACTGGAAATTGCTGATTTGCTATGCGAACGTTCACCTAATAAATGATTTCCTGAGAATGCTTTGTGTTTGGATAGCAGGACCTGCATGTTTTTTTTAAAAAAAGAATATAATTGAAAAAATGAGTCTTTGAAGCGTATTTCAGTCATAAGACTTCAAGTGCCAGCTATCCGTCTGCTTTTTTGTTTGGCTGGGTCACATGACAGCTGATGAAAATGGAAATTAATAGTACGTATTTTACAACATTCAACCTGAAGTTATTTGTGGCTAGAGGTAAAGTCTTTCATCTTAATCAAAAGAAGTCAAACTGATATAGACTCCTTGTGCAGAATGCTTTGCTCTGAGAAGCCTTTGGCCTCCAATCAAGGCAGCATGGAGATGGACAGTGGAGGTGGATGGTTACATGACTTATGTGGATGGAGGTTGAGTTGGACTTCCAAATGGTACCCACACATCGTCACCCAGGCCAGGTGGTGAGTAAACAGGCAGAACAGGCAGGTGAAGGGTCCTTCTGGACCTGAGCCCCTCAGTAGTGCCCGATCTGACTTACCACTGGTGCCAGACATGCCTATCTCTCACCAACTTTTGATACTCTAGTTTGTCAGGGTGACATTTTGTCAACTGAAAGAAAGATGCCCCGTGCTCTCCTAGATTGCCAAAAGTCCATAGGTTGCCTAAGTGTGGTTATTAGATATAGTAACACCCATAAACAATAGCATTGGAACACTTCTTGCTGAGAGATAAAGTATGACAGACAGCACAGGAAACAGGAACGGGATGGAATTTGGCCTTACTGAGTGATGCAGTAGTTGTGCATGTTTTCATTATAAAGATAAATCTTGTTAGATTTAACTTGTGACTCAGTTGCCTGACACAGTTATTGACACCTGTGATATTACTATGTCAACATTTTATATCTCCTGTTTGTATAGGTGAAATTGCTGTGTATAGGTCACCTGGCCTTCCTTGGTTAGAGTCAGAAAACACATTTGAAGGAGAGAATGAAAGCAGCAAGCAGAAGTTATTAAAAGGACAGAGCCCCCCCCCAAGAGATGAATGCTTCTGTGAAATCACATACACACACATAAACACACGCAAACACACAAAATTTCAACAGGCTAGGATTTTCGATTCAAAGCAGGATAATGTTTATATACACCTCTAAATATCCCAAATGTGGCAAAATATAAGATGGCTATAGTTTCCCCAGCCCATTACCTCCTTGATCTTGACATCCACCTTCCTATTCTGCTTGTTGTTTACATACCAGGAGGAGCTCTGACCATTTGCATCAGGTTGTGGGATGTTAGATGACTGAGATAGGGATGGGGGAATGGACAGGAACATCTGCAGCTGCTTAATTTCCTCTCAGAAGCTGTGTTTTCCCATTTTGAACCTGGCATTGGTGAACCTCCCAAAATAGGGATGGAAATCTGTAGCTTTCCAAGTATTGCTGGAACAACAGCTCCAATCATCCCTCCACTAGCTCCTGTTAATAATGGGTGTTTCTGGTCCGCAACATAATTAAGGGGTTATTCTAGTTTTAAATATGTTGTTGTTGTTTAGTCGTTTAGTCGTGTCCGACTCTTCATGACCCCATGGACCAGAGCACGCCAGGCACCTCTGTCCTCCACTACCTCCCGCAGTTTGGTCAAACTCATGCTGGTAACCTCAAAAACGCTATCCAACCATCTCGTCCTCTGTCGCCCCCTTCTCCTTGTGCCCTCCATCTTTCCCAGCATCAGTGTCTTCTCCAGGGAGTCTTCTCTTCTCATGAGGTGGCCAAAGTACTGGAGCCTCAGCTTCACGATCTGTCCTTCCAGTGAGCACTCAGGTCTGATTTCCTTAAGAATGGATGCATTTGATCTTCTTGCCGTCCATGGGACTCTCAAGAGTCTTCTCCAGCACCATAATTCAAAAGCATCAATTCTTCGGCGATCAGCCTTCTTTATGGTCCAGCTCTCACTTCCATACATCACTACTGGGAAGACCATGGCTTTAACTATACGGACCTTTGTTGGCAAGGTGACATCTCTACTTCTCAAGATGCTGTCTAGGCCTGTCATTGCCCTTCTCCCAAGAAGCAGGCGTCTTTTAATTTCGTGGCTGCTGTCACCATCTGCAGTGATCATGGCGCCCAAGAAAGTAAAATCTCTCACTGCCTCCATTTCTTCCCCTTCTGTTTGCCAGGAGGTGATGGGACCAGTGGCCATGATCTTCGTTTTTTTGATGTTGAGCTTCAGACCATATTTTGCGCTCTCCTCTTTCACCCTCATTAAAAGGTTCTTTAATTCCTCCTCACTTTCTGCCATCAAGGTTGTGTCATCTGCATATCTGAGGTTGTTGATATTTCTTCCGGCAATCTTAATTCCGGCTTGGGATTCATCCAGCCCAGCCTTTCGCATGATGTATTCTGCATATAAATTAAATAAGCAGGGAGACAAAATACAGCCTTGTCGTACTCCTTTCCCAATTTTGAACCAATCAGTTGTTCCATATCCAGTTTTAAATATAGATTTGCTAAATATAAGGATTTTCTGTCACATGGGATCATTTTATTATATGATCAGATAGGTGAAAAAACACAACCATTAAGTCTCCCCCCGCCATATATACAAATTAGAAGTTGGTTTTGGTGTCCTCGGGTGTCTTCCCGTGTAAAAGTTGGGGTGTCTAGGCGACAATTAGAAGTTATATATAGTATATATAGCTTGTCAGAAATAAATTTTTTAGGGTGGCAGTCCCAGTGCCCTGGACAGTTCAATGCCTGCTAAACACTGAATTGTTTCAGCAAACGTTCCTAGCCAGCCATATTTTTAAATTTCGCTGATTTTATCTGTATTCTGATTGTTTTATTATGGCTACTTGTTTTTAAAGTTTGTTGTGTTTTTTTGTATTTTTGAGTAAGTATTTTATAGTGTTTTAGGTAAACTTAGATTTAGAATAAATAAATAGCCTATAAATTGTGTTAAATAAAAAAAATGTCACAAGATAAGTAGAGATCTAACAATACGTGAAAGTTTTTTCTTTTTCTTTTCTTTTCCTATTTGGACAAAAGGATCCAATCTCCAAAGTGTATAAAATCTTGGTGGAGAAATGCACGAACATATATAGCCAATTAAAAGAAAACTGGGAGAAGGAATTTTAAGATGGAGATCCTTGATGAAAAGTGAGTTCAACCAAAAGTGAGTTCAACCAAGAGAATTGTTATAAAAATATTATATGAATGATATCATACTAAATTATTGACCTTAATTTCTGGCATGTGCTTGAATTCCTACCACAGAGAGGTCTGGAATTACCATTGTAATTAGGGTTGGTGTTATGTACTAAGCTTGGAGCCTAGAACAATAGGCAGGTAGGATCCTAGAATGCAGCAACTGATTGGCTTGCAGGAGAAGACCAATCAGGCTCTAGGAGGAAGTTAATCAGCCTATTAGGCTGGTAGGATCGTAGAATGCAACAACTGATTGGCCTGCAGGAGAAGACCAATCAGGCTCCAGGAGGGAAGCTGAATCAGCCAATCAGATGGGACTCATTGTGTAAATAATGTATATAAAAGCCTGAGGTTTTGGGGAAAATTCAATCACTGTTTTACAAGCTGCAATAAAGAGCATGAAATCACTGCAGGACTCCGAGTATATTTCAGTTGGCAAAGATGCAGTGTGTCTTGGGTGGTGGGGTGGGGCAGAAACAGTAAGCTGGTCTTACCTCTTCTTTCCACAGGTAGATAAGGAATTTGGCCCATTCTCCCAGTTCTTCTTGCATAGGCCGTTTTTACAGCATTAAAGAATAAAGAATTATGTTTGTTTAAGTAAAAAAAAAAGAACTCTACCACCTCAGAAGTTGTTTGGTAGTGCAACCAGAGGCTGAAGGATGAAAAAAAGTATAGGTTTACTCACAAATGCATTATTTTATAATTTGCTGAGGCTCGCCTAATAGCATGATTTTTCAAAACTGTATACCTTCTAGGCCTTGTTATATTTGATTCACCCAGTATTAAAACTGCATTTTGCTTTGGTTAGCATTTTGTGGTTGCCACAAAAGCCTCATAGCAATGAAAAGTAGAGACTGAAATGAAAATCTGAAATGAAAATCATTAGTCTGCCTGAGATATCTCAAAGGGAACAAACACAGTGATACTTTGGACTGCAATATGTTATTCTCCAAATTATAACATTTGTGCCCAACAGAGGAGCAATAAGTCCCATTTACAGCCAAGGGAGTTAATCAAATAAAAGTTATTGAATGCACAGTAATCGTTAGATAGCTGATGGTAGAAATCTTCCATATATTGTGTTAATTAGTATTAAGTGATGGATTCCCCCCTGTTCTATGTAAGCATGCTTGCACAGTTACATAGAGCCCAATAATAGAAAAATATATATGGCATGGAATAGAACATTGAAGTGTATCTGTTATCTCTCTGGTAACACAAATATTCTTAGTGGGCTTTTTAGTTTTTATCTAAATAGCTCTTTCATGTTCTTTGCTCTGCTGAAGGTGAGAATAAATAAAAGCTTTTATTTTTGGTGCAAATGCATTGGAATATTGCTGTGGGTGTTCAGGAACAAATCTCAAGCAGAGAAGAATGAGGGAATTCACTTATTTTGAACTCAAGGGAAGCAGAAGAGTTTCTGCTTTTTGCTCTCATACTCTGTGTGCCTTGACACAGAGCTGCTGAGTTTCGATCTTCCTTTTGGCTCATGTCACAGAATGCAACAATGGAGAGGAGAATGAATATTATCACATGTGCTCTGAAAAGGAATGAAACAATATCTAAACACTTATAGTTAATATGGATTTGAAGTAGGAGGTTGTTTAAATGGCGAGAAAGTGAGCCGGGCGGAGGCATAACACGGTTGCTGAACTTCCTTTGGTTTTGCATTGCAATTAATCTGGGCCTGTCAAATTATTTTGCGACATGTTTGGCTACTAATCTGAGGTCACATCCACACCATACTTTTAAAGCACATCTAATGCATATTTAAAGGAATATGATTATAGCATTAGCATTTTTTTTGCTGCAACAGTGTGATGAAGCTGCAAAAGAAAGCTAATGCTATTGTAGGCTGCATCAGCAGAAGCATGGTGTCCAGCTCAAAGGAAGTAATAGTCCCATTCTATTCTTCCTTGGCCAGACCACACCTGGACTACTGTGTCCAGTTCTGGGTGCCACGGTTTAAGAAGGATATTGACAAGCTGGAACATGTGTAGAGGATAGTGACCAGGATAATTAAGGGTCTGGGAACCAGGCCTTCTGAGGAACAGTTGAGGGCATGTTTAGCTGGGATAAGAGGAAACTGAGAGAAGATACAATAGCCATCTTCCAAGATCTAAAGAGCTGTCACATAGAAGATGGAGCAAGCTTGTTTTCTTCTGCACTGAAAGGTGCAGGAGACCTGAACCAATGGATTCAAGTTACAAGAAAGAAGATTCCTACTAAACAGTTGGAAGAACTTTCTGACAGTAAGAGCAGTTCGACAGTAGAACAGACTTCCTTAGAAGGTGGTGGACTTTCCTTCAATGGAGGTTTTTAAGCAGAAGTTGGATGGCCATCTGTCATGAATGCTTTATTGGAGATTCCTGCATTGCTCGGGGTTGGATCACATGACCCTTGGGGTTCCTTCCAACTCTACAATTCTATGATTCTATGACTTCCCCCATAAAATCCTAGGAACTGCCATTAACCCCTCATGGAACTAGAATTCCTAATACCCTTAACAAACCACAGTTACCAGGATTTTTTGTAGAAAGGCATGCACTTTTGAATGTGTGTTAAATGTGCTTTAAATGTATGTGTGGATGTGACCTGAGAAGAGGACTAGGCCATAAATCCAATGGTTATCATGGACAAACCTGAACTGTGGCCTAGCAAGGCCTGTCTGTGAACTAATCCTACAGAAGAGGGGATGCTTTTTCTACTTTTGTGCGATATTTATGGCCCAGACCTCATAAAACAAGAAGACTGCTAGGGAACTGACAGTCAGCTCCACATAAGACTTTCCTGCAGCACACAATGGGGGAAAATACATTGTAAAAACATTTGAAGTATATACCTCTCCCCCCTCCAATGCCAGAATGGAAAACTTATTCAACTAGACTTTATCTATGTCAGTGAAAAATTAACAGGTGAAAAAACCCTACTGGTTCAATGCATGCCCTTGATGAAATCAGACAGAGACTTCTGTGAATGGAACTTTAAATAATATCTCAGTGGTCTTTGGTCATTTTCATATGTTGCACTTTTTATCTCCTGCGGCAGCAGTCTTGTTGACCCCTTCGAATGTCAATCACTGTAGGGCGCCAGCCTCATCATGCAATGACATTTTAACATCAGTTGTTTAAGACATTGGGAAAAGCCTTCATTTTTATATTCCCCTTTCCTCCTTCATAAGACATATGAAAGTACTGCAATTCCTACTTAGGCTGATCATTTGGGGATATTCGATTTTGCTAAACCGTCTAAAATTATATTTGGACAACTTCAGACCTGTCAATACCCTAGAAGAATTTTGAAACCATGTATATGGCTAGGAGGATGGAATGGGAAAATAGTTTAAACCTAAGGGGTGGGGAACAGTGAGAACCTTGGAAGTTGGTGCCATTGACTTTTGACAGATATAATGGCCCAATACAGGGAGCCATACTTAAACACTGGAACTACTGGTAGACATACCTGGATGTAGAGCAAAACATTATATATTATCCCTGTAATTCAAAAATGTGTATTTTTATTTCTTGTGTGGGATTGATAGAACCCTGCATCTGGATGAGCCTCATTCATGGCACAGTTAGGAATTCATTACTCAAAAGCCTAAGGGCAAGTGTTACTATCATACAGCAATTTATAGATTTATAGATAATTTCCCCCCCTATCAGAGGTACTAACCATTATTACTTTTATTAATAGTAGATCATCTACACTTGGCCACTGATGAAGGCTAAAAGCTGAAACAAGTTTGGCCAAGGAGCACCCATTTTCAGTTGGCATGTGCCTTATAAATAGAGTGTAGGAATGCTTTAATATGTGTTTGTAGTTTGGATTTTATTGAATATTAAATATCTATTGCTATGTTTGTAACTTCCTACTGAGCATTTTACCCTTTTTGTTTATTCTGTGATTGTTGTTGTTTTTTGCTAAGGAAAGCACAGCTTATTTCCTTGTGGCTATATGATACAGAGGAGAAATGACCGCTGCGAAGGAGTGCAGAGAGAATAAATGCCACGGTGTATGTGCAGCAGCATAACTGGATGCCTTCATCTGCCCCAGCTGCAACAAAACATGTTTCTCCCATATCAGTCTCTACAGTCAGAGCAGGTACTATCCAACAGATCAAATTTACCCCAAAAGGCACACTGCTCCATCATCTCCCGAGACAGACGGATGCCAACAACAGAACAATACAATACAATACAGGTACAATTTGCTGCATCTTGTGGATTCTACAGCAGCCTGACATTCTTAAAGTTGGCAGTTTTTATATGACCAGTACAATACTTCTGCTGTGATCTCCTCGTGCTCAGTATCCAGAAGGGAAGGACCAAGGTTCTCACAAAAGGGAAATATGTGAAATTTTGAAAGGCATTTTGTATTTGCTGAGAGTGAATTATCGGGCAGCTTACCTGAAATGAAGGCTTCATTTAAGTTGATTAGAGTTTTGGGTTGACTAAAGTAATGTGATGGGATACATCTAGTACAAACCACAGAACGTAACCTTTCAGATGTCTCTATATTAGCCTTTAAAACAATAACAACATAAGGCTCTTCCTTTCCCCTGCTCGTTCTCACTTTATCAACTGGCAGATGGGTGATTTTTACTTGTTAAGGTGAATTGACTTCTTACAAAGGCTTTTCCACTGCACTGCCATAAATCAGTTGGAAAAGATGGCTGTGAGAACAGTAAATCAGCACCCTGGGCCTTGTCATTTTACCATCCAGCCTGCATGCTGGGAGCCGACATTTGTTCCCAGCAACCGCTCAAGTGAAAAGGTGTTTTAAAAATACTATATATATATATATATATATATATATATATATATATATATAATTTGCACTTCTTTGAAACTTTGGAAAGGTGTTGGCATTGGGCTGTATTTTGCTTGAATAAAAGGGAGCTGCAGCAGCCTGCAGAGACATATTTATTTGAAACTAAGGGCGAAATCAGATGGGAGGTCTCAACCTTGAACATACTGATGTGCAGGAAACACTCCATGAGGAAGGTATGTAAGCCTGTGTAGAACTGGAGGTTTACTATTGCAGCATAGCTTTAGTCATGCACAGATTTAACTCGCCCAATGTTGTGAGAATGCTCTACCGCAGGGATGGGGAATCTCACATCTGGTGGGGAGATGTGGCCCACCAGACCCCTCTATCTGAACCTCAGATCTGTCCCCAGGCCACGTCCGTTCTCCACAAGCCACACCCCCACAGGCCCTGCTCCTCGTTCTCCTGGAGTGTTTTTGCCAGTCTGGAATGAATGTGCCCTGGAACTCTGATAATTCTTCCTGCTTCTGTGGGTGGAGGAATAGACTTGGGCATGTGTAGAAACTACCCTACTGTAACATTTATGTCCTTTGCTCTGCTCACTTCTCTTCCTGCCCGCCCCTGGCACATGGCACAAGGATTACATTTCTTGCATGTTGTTAAGTTGTGAGTGAACATATCAGACAATACAGCGATTCTTCAAACAGCTCTTGTTTTTATTCAAAGGTCAGAACAGAACTGAACTGAAGGGTTCAGCCAGCCTGCTTATATAGAGCTCCACTAGAACGCAACAGTAACCATTTTCTGTAACTATCCAATCACTGAACGTCACTTTCAATCCCTTATTTGCATATGTGGACCTGAGTGAAAACTATCTACAGTATCCCCCTGCTGGCCCAGGGTGAGAACTTCAGTACATAACACATGTCACAGTTCCTGACATGAATCTAATTGCCTCTAATCCCACATGCATATTTCCAGTGCAGAGATGGACTGTAGCGCAGCGCCAGAGCATATGCTTTTCATGAAAAAATGGGTTCCACGTTCAGCCCCAGGCATCTCAAGATAATGGCTAAGAAAAAATTCCTGTCTGAAACCCTGTAGTCGGTGTCAACAATATTTTAGGTATGGAAAAGGTTTAGGCAGCTTCCCAAGTTTTTATATGGATATACAGTGGTGAGAGAAAACGAGCTCTGCATTTGTTCACTTTCCAATATAGTAATTATATATGTTTCCCACAATTGTATTCTACATCACATATTCTGTGGCTGAAGCTTGACATTCAAAATAGGTTTGATCAGTTGAATCCCAGCTGAAATTGTGGCTTGATAGCAAAACTGGGCATCAGAGGTTCTGAAAGAGACTAGATGTCGGATAACTTCAACTTGGGTTTTCAACTTCCACTTAGAGAATTGCACTATATATTTGAATCTTTTTGAGGCTCAGAAGACGCCTTCTTCCAAATATGTATTTATTTATCTGTCAGAATGCATATCCTAACTTTATACAAAAGATTAATGGCAGTTTACAACCCAGAAAGATAAGACAATGCACATCGATGCAAACATATTAGAATTCCTGCTTAAAGGCAGAAGCAGCATGAAATTAACTTTTTTAGAAATTTCTGCAAAGTCTCACTGAAACAAAACATTGTTAATCGCCAATCTGAAAGCAAGCAGCAGTTAGGCCAAGAGGTCCTTCCTGATGAGACTATTCTAAATATTGAGGCTCAAAGCAGAATAGGCCCTGTTTCAGGCACCTGCTTGTCAGGGTTCAGCCATGCCCAGATATGGAACCAGGGGATTCTTTGGAGAAGATCTCCACTGTGCCAGCAGCTCTGAATAGCCAGTTTAGTGTAGTGTTTAGAGTGTTGGACTGGGACCTGGGAGACCAGGGTTTGCATCCTCACTCAGCCATGAGACTTACTGGCTAACCTTGGGCTAGTCACTGTCTCTTAACCTAACATAGTTCACAGGGTTGTTTTGATGATAATATATGGAGAAGGGACTTCCGGGTTGACGCGATCTGGAAATGGCGGATTCCCTCCGAGCTCCGGAGGGAATCGGCTCCACTGAGGATGGGTCTTTGCCGCGCCGGCGACGCGGGGACCCTTAAAAACCGCAGGCGCGGAAGCCTGCGGACTGAAGACTCGGCGGGTGCCTTAAGCGCCCCCCCTGATTCGCAAAGAGCCTTTTTAAAGGCTGCGGAGGGGATACGGGGGTGGCGTGGCACTGAGAGTCGATCGCTACCTCGGTGGAGCGAAGCCGCGAGCCATGACCGGAGAGCGTTGACTTCCTTCCTTGAAAATTTGGACTGAAAGAATCACCCGTGAGTAAGACGGATTGGGACCTTTGAAAAATTTTACCTTTAATTGGAGACGACCGGGGGGTGTGCTAAAAGGAAGTCCGCACCCCCCCCCTTGCAGACCATCTAAGCAACGACACAAGAGATAAGCTGGAGAGCCTACCCTTGGTGGGGTGAGTTAAAAAGGACACTAACTTTCAAGATTTTACTAAAGGAAAATTTTGTGCAGGAGAGTGGAGTTTTGGAAACCTTTCTTCTGTTTTAAACAACCCCCCCTCCCGGGCTCGGGAACGTCCTGCCTTCGTGCCTGCGTTAGAGCTGCGGAGTTTGACAGCTGTCAAAGCTGCCAAACGGGCGGTTTAAAGTGAGAAATTGCCATTTAAGATTTTTATGGACTAAGACGAGTTATAATTGAGCTGAAACTGTTGGAAACAAAGTAATAATAATCAGTTTAAGGATTGTTGGTGAAAAGGCAAATAAGTAACCAGATTCCCCCTAGGGGGAACTCTGTGAAACTACAATGGATACAATGGCTGTGGAAGGAAAGTTACTAGTGGAAATCGAAAGGATGTTTCAATTGGTGGGAATCTTACAGGAGCAGAGTTTGGCCATGAACAAACAACTTGAGACTATGACCTTGGGAACAGGCAACTCTGCTCTTTGTATTGAGGACCTTAATGAGAAAGAATCCACAGCTGATTGGGAAACAATATCTACAGAGCTGGAAGAGACTAAACAACAAGAAAAAGAAGAAGTAATCCTGGGAAGTAATAACCAAAAGTTGACATCTGTGGAATACAAGCAAGGAGACGCTGGGAACATATTTACCACAAGTCTGCGAGAGATACAGAAGAAGAAGGAGGAGGCCCCAAGACAAAATGGAGTACAGGAATTTAAAATAAAGAAATATGATTGGGGCCTCCGTTTGGACTTAGACTTGGAAGAGATAGACTTTGTGGAAATACTTCAGCAGCCACCTTTGAATCTTCTTGTTGGAAGAGGACATACTTTGATGGTGAAAGAACTTTTCCCAGATTTGACGACTGCTGTAAAGGACTACCAACAGGACAGGCGGAGAGGAACGGAAATAGATTTGAAAGCCTCGGACGTGAGGAACCCAGGCTGAGAACTTCGAATTTGGATTTTTATTGGGAAGGGACAAAAACCGGGGATGGGAGGGAGGGAAGAAGAGACTCTTAAAAACTCTCAAGACTTTTAGGTTTGGTTAAGATGACTCTTAATTAAGATAAAATGAAAATCGATGGAAGAGAACTTAAGTCCAACTTATGAAAACTAATTTTTATTATAAAAAAAAGGAAATAAGATGAATAAGATTGTTAAGAGGAGAAATATCAATTTGCTGACATAATCTTGAAACTGGGATGCATTAGGGGGGGTGGGGGGAAGTCAGGGAACAAGGTTATGAAATGGGGATTTGCTGACTTTATACATGTTTTTGTCTTTGTTTTTCTTTGTGTATGTTTTGTCTTTATAAAAGCAGAAAACCAAATAAAAATTTTATAAAAAAAAAAAGATAATATATGGAGAAGGAGGAGGAGGATAACTATGGATGCCACCTTGAGCTCCTTAAAGGAAAGGTGCCCTCATAATCACAATCTCTCCTGCAGAATCAGAGGTCTCCTTACATATTACCTGGATTCCTGTCTGACATTTGTCCCCTGCCTCTCCCATCACCTCCAGGACCACAGGAACAGAAGGGATGGTGAGCCACACAGAAGCTTCAGGGCCACCAGTGAAATGCCCAGTTGCTGCATGTGCAGCTATTCGGAACATGGGAGAGGCACATGTAAGCACCTGCCTTTATCAAGGCCCTGCAGAGAACCAGGAAGGAAACTTCCAGCTTCCATTATAAACTCTCAGTCTGAGCTGCTTTGTTGCAAAGTATCGATTCTCCATTGCAAAGCTTTCTTATATTAGGGAAATGGACACTAATTCCAGGTTGGGGGACTGAAACGGACTCAAAGAGAAATAACCTTCATTTCCCTGGTAAATATCAACCCAGCTGATGAACGGCCAACCTGATTCTGCTTCTTCCCCAAAGTGGTTTGCTACCCAAGAGATTTGTATAGCTAAGGAATGCACTCAGTATCTCCTCTGGGCCAGTCCTGGTTGGTAGGTTTGAAACTATGTTTTAGTTTACTTTATTTATTTTCTCTCAGTCAACTAACTTTTGCTCCATCTCTTTCCATTTAGAAAATGTTGTTGGTTTCCACAATCTCTCCGGATGTCAGCCAGATATGCCTTATGCGTTGTAACCCTACCCATGTCTACTGCTGTTGAGTTCAATGGCGCCTGCTCCCAGGTGAGTGGGCATAAGATTGATGTCTTGACAATGACATCTCTGTGAAACCGAGGGAACTTTGCTTGCAGTGACTGTAAGATCAAACCTTGACAGCGGTAAGAATGCTGAGATAAAAGGTCACTGAAGTCTTTGAAAGGTTTCAGAAAAGAAGTCGCTTAAAGTGTGACCTTCCTTTATTCCAGATCTTTGATATCCTATCAAATAATTATCATGCAGAATTCCTCAGAAGGATAATTTACTCAGATGGCTTTGGTTCCACAAAGGAGAATTATGAACCGTAATATTAAAAAAAAAGAAAGACGACTCATGCCAGAAACAGCCCCTTTTTTGGCCAATGCTGAGTAAGTATTATCTCACTATTTAGCCAAGTCAATTGCTTTTGTTGTTAAAAAGGTCCCCCTCTTGGATCTGAGCTGCTGGATAGGCTTTTGTGGTGGGTGGGTTGCAATTTTAGCTAATGAGCCAGGCAGTGCAGTCTCAGTGCTTTGTAATGGCTTTAGTCGCATTTGACTTCATGCGCGAATAGTCAGAAACCAGCCAAAAGGAAGGTCAGGCAACATGCTGATAAGGAAATAATCCTAAATCTCCATTTGGGGTGATTTCATTGCAAAAATGCTTACTCTTGTGACAAGGTCACATTAGAATTTGAATCATCGCCTTTTCTTTTGGCTTTGTTCAACACTACTTTGAACAGCTTCTTCCTCTTGCGGGTTCCTTTCAGCTATTCATGTCAAGTGCCACTGAAAACCTGTGTTGACTTCCTGTTGTTGTCCCCCCCCCTTTGGAGTAACTCCTGCTTTGATTACTAAACAAAACTTTGCACAGCTGATTGGCATGTGGGGGCTTCAGGTGTTATAACTGGACAACAGACCTGTCTGGTTCCCAGGTACATGAACTGCCCATAGCACAGGATATGTGATATGAGTGTGGACAGAATTTATTTACTTATTGCTTTAGAAAGTGATTTAGTGTTACAGACAAGGTGATGCTTGATTCCAAACACTTTGGATTAGACTTCACATCTGAAGTGGGGCCTTGGTTCATTTTTCTGAAGCTTTGTATGTCCCCTCCTTGACTGTAATGTGGACCAATGAATATCTAATTACACACACACACACACACACACACACACACACACCACAGCACGATTTCACATTCCTGCTGCATTCTTGATGGAGTAGACAACACTTTATTTATAAAAAATTGGTGCACTAAAATAGTACTTGTGCACATTAAAACAGTGCACAAACATTGAAGAATAGCTGTATATTACACTATTACTCATTGAGACACAGACCAACAAAATATTCAACACTGAACTTAAATGCAAGTAGGGGCAGGGTTTGGTGGGGCCACTACTGCATCTGCAGCCCTGCTGTTTGTGGCAGCTGTGGTGAAAGGTGTGGGACAGGGCAGGTGCAGCATTCAGACCCGGATCGGGCCCAATGCCATTATGTGATAGCTTTGAATTCAGAAGATGCCAGGTCAACTCAGCAATACAACCTCCATGCTGTGTAAACACCCTGTTTGGGGACCTTCTGCAGGCTGCTCCCAACAGGTAGTCCATCACAGACACACCTGCTCATTTGTACATTTGGCAGCCAGTGAGGGGCTGGCTCAGTCAGGAGAACTGAGTGGAAGGACACAAATACCCTTCCAAAATGTCCATGATGCTTTGGAGCAGCTTGCTTTGTTTTGGACCACTTTGGACAAATCCCACTTCATTTTGGAGGAAGTCTGAGTACTTCCAAAGTGGCCCACTTTGGTTCAGTATCCAGCTATTTTCTGAAGTGGATGCACACTAGGTAAGCTCTTTTGATTGCCTCATTGTGTGGTGAGATTTAATTGCTGGTCAATGTATTTCTCAACAGTAATGACCATATTGTAGTAGTGACATTCACCAAAAAAAAGGGAACAGCTCATACTTGGCCAAATATGGCCATATGTCTTGATCTCAGACACACAAAGCCTCTGTATTTGTTTTTCAAATTCTTATTTCTGGAAGTGTCCAAGTATAACAGTCAACTTGTGAAGGGACCATCAGTGGTCTGAGAGAACTGTAGGGGCAGCTCCTCACCCATCTTCCCTGAAACTTCTCTGAGGAAAGGTGGAAGAGAACAAACCCAGGCCAGGGATCAGAGCCATCAATTCTGGAGTTAACCTGAATATTTTGTACCATTTGCTTGTGTGAAGATTTTAAACCGTAAACCACCTTGGTGGCTGGACCTGATGTTGGAGTATCACCTTTTTTGTATTTTGCCCTGTTCACAGCATAGCCTGTAGGCACTAGCACGCTGTAGTTCCCTATCTTCTTTAACCCTGAAAGGATACTATGTGAGATAATTGGTCATACTTTATGGGTTTGGTGAACCACTCTAGCCCACCTGCCTGTATTCTTTAAAAATTCCAGAGGGTCATTTCTGCCCCCAAGTTATTTGTAATGCTTTGTTGAAATCAAAGGCTCCCCCCCCCCCGTCTCTGGATGGTTTCTTTCATTCATAGGCTTTCTCCCATGAGATTTGAATTGTAGATGATTCTGTACATTTATATTTAATACTGGAGAACTAACCAGCCATGTAGGTATTTATATGGCTCCAAAGTCATATGAAAATGCTTTGTACTGCTGAAACTGATGTTTATGCTTTCGCTGTCAGATACTGCATTTTCATTGTTGTTTGTTAAAGTGTGTGTGTGTATGTATGTGTGTGTTTCTCCTCATGCCTGTGGAGAAATATAACCCATTTGGATTTGCCTAAGGATGAATTAACACATGCGTTTTTCATTAAACTGCTGTATACTTCTGATTCATGTAACTTTGTCACATACACACCATATGTTTTAAACACATGACTTCCTCCAAAGAATGCTGGGAACTGTAGTTTGTTAAGGTGCTGGGAGTTGTAGATCTGCGAACCGTAAACTACTGTTTCCAAGATTCTTTGGGGAGGAAAAAGATGGTTAATGCACTTCAATTGAATGGTGTGGAAGTGACCTTTGATTAAGCATGGAGTAGGTATAAAATTGGGATGCGGGTGGCGTTGTGGATTAAACCACAGAGCCTAGGGCTTGCCGATCAGAAGGTTGGCGGTTCGAATCCCCGCGACTGGGTGAGCTCCCGTTGCTCGGTCCCTGCTCCTGCCAACCTAGCAGTTTGAAAGCATGTCAAAGTGCAAGTAGATATATAGGTACCGCTCCGGCGGGAAGGTAAGCAGCGTTTCCGTGCGCTGCTCTGGTTCGCCAGAAGTGGCTTAGTCATGCTGGCCACATGACCCGGAAGCTGTACGCCGGCTCCCTCGGCCAATAAAGCAAGATGAGTGCCGCAACCCCAGAGTCGGTCACGACTGGACCTAACGGTCAGGGGTCCCTTTACCTTTTAGGTATAAAATTGTGGGTTAAAGAACAACATAACTTGATTAAAAATTGCTGTGCGTCCCCCCCCTTTTAAAGGAGCTTCCTATCTGTGCCTCATTACTTTCAGTGGAGGACCTAGCCAGCTTTCTCCCACTTGCCATTATGATTTGCTTTGTGTTGAATTTAGCATGATTTCTGGTCAGACAGGATGGTCATAGAAAGGAGAATGATGATCTTGTGAAAGGGCAGGCAACTGTGGGAAGAGTATGGGTAACTGACTAGAGCAGGGGTAGCTAATGGAGTCCTTTCCAGATGTTGTGAACTGTAACGTCCAACAGCCCCAGGCAATCCATGACAATGATAGAGTCCACAGCGTTTGGAGGATGCCATGTTGGTGCCCTCACAAGGAGAGCCACCTCTTCAACCTTCCAGATATTTGGGATTCCAAATACTACCATCATTGACCATTGGGCATGTTCATAGTGGCTGATGGGAGTTGTAACCCAAAACATCTGGAGCGACCTGGGTGGGAGTATCAGGGTACAGATGGCTGACCAAAAATAGTAGTTATTATATTTTTATGCATGGTTTTTAGTGATAAATACAAGCATTGCTTTGTTTCTTGTGAATAAGGCAGATGAATATGTGAACATTCCAGCTATTTTACTGAAGCTATACTCCGCCAGTTTCCTTTTATTTGTTTTTCCAATTAGGTGTTTTCATCCGTTGATTCTCACATGTTATCGTCACTGAAAATAAAAATAAATAAAAATCGGCACCTGACTTTTTCCTCCCCCCGCCCCCTGAGGAAGCAGTTCACATTGGCACCATAGCCATCAAAGCTGCAAAGGCACAGTGGCAAATCATCACCTTGGAAGAAAACATCCTCCTCCGTTTTTGTTTCCTTTTCTGCACAAAATTCTGAGACATTTTGCAGATGAAAGGTAGGATGCTAGACAGGAACTCCTTTGAGCTTTGCCTTTGCATTCAGACAAAAATCACTTAGCAGGTTTTGATGCATGCAAACTGGGAGTGGCAGGAGTGGGGGTGGAGAGAATGGGCAGCCGCATCACGATCAACCAGGCATTGTAAAGAGCATTAAATTTGCTTCTCGTTAAGAAAGAGTAAATTCAATTAGAGAGCCCTGTGGAGAGACAGCAGTAAAAGGATAAGACCTGAGCTTTACTGCAGAAACAAAGGCCTTGATTCGATGCACAGTTAGAATTGCTTAATTGGATATTCCATCATAGGATGCTATCAGATTTTGTTACTTATAATGCATTCTTCCACACCCACCCACCCACCCACCCATCCAGACCTGGTAGAATTTGATTTCTCACTGACTGTTCTCAATGTACACCTTCAAAGTAAAAATAAATTACTCGGATTTGGAGAATATTATCAATCATCTTCTCTTCAGAGGTAAGTAGTGATGTGTGTAAAAAAAAATCCCAGCAGCCACTGGCTCCATTTTCCATATTCACCCTTTTGTAGAAGAGTCTTTCAAATTTTACTTCAGCACTTTTGCACAAAACCCAGCTCTCAATGCTGAACAGGCTGAAAGTGCTATTTTTTTTCCAGGGGTGGGGGGCGGTGTCACACAAAGATCTTTACCCTCTACATCCTTATAGCTGTGAGCTATTAAATTGGCTGAACATAGTTTAACTACAGTTTTTGTAGAGTCAATTATTAATGAATATTTCATTCTATACACGGCATTGCTTTGCCAAATGGCAACTGCTGTGAAGTTAATTACTTTGCAGTTAGGTTTTAAGGTGAAAATCAAAAGGAGCTAGGGCTTTTTCTTTTCTTTTCTTTTTGCTGCAAAATTCATCCGCAGAATCAGTTGTGTCATTGCAAAAGAATGCTAACGGTATGTTTTCACAAGCAAGCAAAGCAGGCAAGAGTCATCTTTGTTATGAGCATGGCTGATAAAGCATTCACAAAGCCATGGTTCTGGCAAAGAATGCATCCTACAGCTTTGTAGCTG